GGGTGTGACTGCACCTCAGAATATGATTGCTTCAACGCGTCACAGCCTCTAGTCATCATGTTACGAAATGATCATGATGTTCTGAAATGTTTAACTCATAATACCCAATCAATTTATGGATTTATGGTTTTGTTGTAATTAAATGAGAGAGACGAGGGAGACGGAGGAAGAGGAGAGATGGAGGGTGAAGCGAGGGTTAAAAGTGGAAGGCCACGAGACTACCGGTGGACGCGGAGGCCCAGAGATAAGCGAATACGGACGGAAAGGCGAAAGGAAAGGCGGAACGGCGGACAAGAGGGCGAGAAAAGGGGGAAATGGCAGAATTGAGAACGCGAAGACAAAAATGGAGATGGAGGTGGCGGTGGAGGTGGCAGTGGCGGTGGAGGTGAAAGTAGTTGCGGTGGTGCTGGAGAAGGAGACGATGTTAAGGTGAAAATGGAGGTGAAACCGTAGTTCAAGGTAGAGTTGGAGGTGGACGTTAAGGTGGAGGTGAGTGGGAGGTGAAGGTAGAAGTGTAGGCCGCCGTGGAGGCAGAGATTAAAACAGGTGAATGGGCAAAGATGAATTGACGAACGAACGAAGGTGAACTGGAGTCGGAAGCGAAGACAGAGATGATGGTGGAGGTGAAGGCAGAGGAGGTGGCGTAGGCGGAAAGGGAGGAGTTGGGACGGGGAAGGGCTAGGCTGACGGTGGGGGCTGCGGGCCCTTCGCGTGCGTGGTGGGCGTGGTCGGGGCAGCGGAGCGTGATGGGCCGAGTGCCGACCGTCCACGTGCATGAGAAGACGGCTGCTCAGGCAAAGCGAATGCTCGCCTCTTCCACCCTACCCCACCCACTCCCTCTCAACCAAAGCCCCCTACAAGGCCCTGCCCTTGGTCACAAAGCGCGGCTTCTATTTCGTATTCCTTTTTCATCATGATTCAAGTAGGTACCTAGCTTTGTACAAAGTTCGCCGTACAGACCTGCCTTTTCTCACTAAAGGTACATTTTGTTCCGTTTTACGACTGAACTTTTTTCAGTGTGATAGTGATGTATGTACAATCCTTTCTTAAAAATCAATACGGTGTGATAAAACAAAGGAAAATATTCGTAGGTTGCACTGATTTATTTTGTAAAAGCGTCGGCATAAAAGCATCATTAATAACGCTGCTACAATCCATTGACGCTACATTATTTTTCTATCTCAATGACAGTCGGGGTAGATGAAGTAAACGGAGGTGATTTTCGAAATTGCTCAAATCAAACGTGAGTGCACCGTCATTCTAGGTTTATTTTGCACTATACTGGTACTACGTAAATTTGTACCACATGTTTTATTTATTTCCGCAATAAAAAAGAAAGAAAGAAAAATCTAGTGAAACAATATCATCCAAAGAAATGCAGTATCGTATCTTTCAAATATTCTCATTTTCTTGGGAGAGGTTACAAACATTACGAATATAGTATCTTGTTCAATCCCAGTGTCTCAAAATTGAATACTCAAAATATTTATTAAGTGTGTATTAAACAGTTTTCGGAACGTTCTTAGACTCATTATATAATTTTGTTGAGATTTTGAATGTATCAATGGTCGCACCCCATCAAGTGCCTCTCTTCAAACAAACACCTGTTTCGAGTTCCTGACTTCGGAATTTACGGCCCCTTAACACGATTTTATATAGATTTGAGTCTCTTTATATAGCCGATGACAGCATTCGAACGATTTTACGACTACCAGACACGCGTGAGGAGGAAAGAGGCAGGAAAAACAGCAATCTAAAAGTGAATACAAGAACCTTTTCACATTGTCTATTGAATATCTACCCGAAATGTCTTTGCCCAACATTAACTATTGTAAATGAAGTTATAAAAGGAAATTATTGTCAAAACTTTCACTTAAAATTTAATTTTACCCTCCACTCCCAGTCCATCAATCTCCTAATCTGATACAAAATAAAAATTAGGTCAGAGATTGCTTAAGAATAAATGAAAAATAATTGCTACAAATTAAAGAGTATATACCAAAGCAAAAAATATCATCCGGATAGTTAGTTAATTTTAATTTCATGACTAAAACTGGTAAGTTTTTTGACCAGTAAAACTTTGTTTAGAAAATATATTATTTATATTATTTTGTAAATTCAAAAATATGAAAACTAATATTTAGAAACTGATACATTTTTTTAATCTACATTCAAATCTTGATAGAGTTTGAAGTGTTTGGCACTTATTAACGAATTGATATGAATTACAGTAAGAGGATTCACAATTTTAAAATACCTGAACAGAATGTTACGGACAGAGTAAGAAATGAGTTCATGAAGATATACATGGAAGCGAAAAACTTGCTGACAGAACATAGGGACCACAACAATTATTATTGTACAGTCACGTTTTTGAAATGATGAAGAATGATGGTCAAAATGAAGAAAAAGAGGAACATGAATTGTAAAAAGTTCACTGAATTTACTACTTCAATGAATTGTAGAACAGACTTCAGGTAGAGCGAGAGAGAGAGAGAGAAGAGACAACCGATCGGTGATAATGTTGACATACAAAATAGAGATCAGGATGCACGAAACTGTCTGAATCTCAAACAACGCGCCGTATAATAAAGTGTTTGCCAACGATGAAATTTTGAAGTGAACTAAGATCGAATAGGAAGGAAAAAATGACATTAATGTTTTAATTATTTATTAATTTTCAATTCATAATAATTCTGATATTCTTCGTTCAATAAATATTTTACTTTTTTTCGCAAACAATAATTGCTATATAAAAATATAACTTTCCAAGATTCGCCGTTCTCGTTATCAAAGAAATATTGATATACTTTGGAACTAATGTTTTGTAAAACTTCAGCCAATTTCTTCCAATAAACTTAACATTACTACAACTGTCATTGGTACGTGAACTTGGCAAGCCAATTTACAAGAACGCCATGTAAACGGCGTTGGCACTAGAAATGTTTTGTACTACATCAGCACATACTTTCTCGCAAACTTTTAACTTTTTTAAATTTCAAAAATTCCAAAATTACAATAAAAGTCAGCTGAGCCATTTTTATCAGCGTTCTTCGTGTTATCTTGGAAAAATTAAAAAAAATTGGCGCCGTTTCTGAGACACTTGATTTTGCAATTTGCATATTTTCAAACAGAATTAGGCAAGAAATTACATTTTGCAAACATAATGCTGGACTTCTTGGTCTAATGTGAAAAAACGGATTTCATGAAATAAGTGTACCTTTAATATTGAAATTGTGGAAGGCTCCACAAAAAATTAACCTTTTGCAATTCTTAAAAATTCAGAAAATGCAACGGAAAATAATCCTCCGTTATATTTATAAGCATTCTTTACTCTACCTAAGGAACAAATTTAAAGAGAAAACATGAAGCTATTTCTGAGAAAAGTTTGAAAATATTTATCAGGGTTCATGTATAGTACCCCTAAAACCAAGGTAACTGTTTGAAGACACAGGGCCAGCTATATCAAGTAAATCAAGCAGAAAATATTAATTTTGGTAAAACTCCTGCATATGTGTTTTCCGCTAGCGAGTTCGTAGGCGCACAGAGACGGACAGACGTACAGAAGTTTTTCGTTAAACAAGTTTTTCAGTATCAAGGAATCAGGAAATCAGTATTCTGACAAGACAATGCATTGAGGGAAGTTATTTACTACATATAGAAAAATAATAATACATCTTTTAGGTGACAGGAAACCACAAAAAATAATTCCGTCAAAAATTTATTTTTTTCAGCAAAGCAATACTTTATATATTCTAATTATGACTTATGCACACAATGTCTTGATAAAAAGCTTTCCTTTCTTGATAAAAAATATTTATGTTATTATTTAAAGTTGTATTTTCTGTTGCTGCGAGTACTATCATAAAGAACAAAACATTATATAACTATAGGACCGTTTTCGTTCATTTTTTGTGCAGTACTAAGGGTAATTTAAAATAGTTTTTGGATCTTTGAAAGTGACCATGTTTTGCCAGTTCTTGATCAAGAAAATTTGGTTTACAGTAAACCGTTCGTCTGCCTCTCTGTGAACATAACTAGTGGCTAATGCATGAGAAGAATTTTCACCAAAATACATATTTAACTTTTGATATGGCTCGCGTCCCTTCTATTTGAAACAGATACTTTGATTTGGAGAAGGGAAATTCACATAAAGGCACTCCAACGTTTTCAAAATTTTCCCAAAAATCTTTTAATTTAATTTTTTTAAATTCTTTTCCTCAGATAAAGCAAAGGTCGCGTCTCAAAATCGAGTAGATGCGTTTTCGTTGAATTATCTGAACTTTGAGAATGTTCAAATGTTTACATTTTTAGACATCATCTTATACAACAACAATATCGAAGACGGAGAATTTTTTTCTAAAACAATTGTTCTTCAAGATTAAATATTTAAGTACAATAATGTACAATGTTTCGAAAATTCGAGTAGTTGTCGCTTAATTATACGTGAAAGAAAGGCAAATTTGTAAAAGACGAATTTATCAAAAGGCTGCAACTTTTTTCTGTATTTTTCTCAGATATTGTACAGTAGTCTTATAAAAGTGGCGTAGGACCATTGAACTCCAAATTTTCTTAGATTGTAAAAGTTACAAATAATAGGAGAAAGTTTGTGCAGTTATGGCGCTACTCATTTCTTGATAATTTCAATCCGGAGGGGATTTTTAAATTCCTTTCTCAGAAGTGGCTTCATAATGAGTAACAACCACTTCACCTCATTGGACCAAAACGCATTTTGCCCTGAGGAAGACCGCGGTTCGATCGCCGAAACGTTGGCATCTGTGCCTCGGATGCAGCGTCTCCCGGCAGCCAGGTGGATCATAGAAGAGGGTGGATGGTGAAAATATGGGAGTAAACCCAGGAGTTTGAAACGTCAAACGATAGGAGAGACGAAACTGTTTAATGATTGATTTGTAATATTTATTACATTTAACTGGTTGTGTAACGCCAGGGGATCTTACATGGCCAATTTTATATTCCCTTATATAAAGCGAAACAATTACAATTGACAAGTGGTTGCGGGGCGAGCGTGCGTGGACAGCACGGCCGTGTCCAGCCGGCGCGCCGTTTCAAACGGGCGCGAGCCAGCGTGCGCAAGTCGCGGCGGCACGCGTGCCGGGCGCACGGCGGCGGCGCCGCACCGCGGGCGGGCGGGCGAGCGAGCGAGTCGGCGGGCGGCGCTGCGCCCGCGCGACGGCGCGACGCGCACGCGGCGCCGCGCACGCCGCCCGCCCGGGCGCCACCGGCTGGCCGACGCCCCCGCCCCACCCGACGCCGACGCCGCTAGCGCGTCGCCCGGTGCAGACGGCCCCGTCCCGTCCCGTCCCGTCCCCGACCCTCCGGCGCCGCCGCCGGCCCCTCAGAAAGCCTTCCGCGCGCCGCCGCCCTCGCCCGGACAGAGGACGGAGGCAAGCGAGCGTTGTCACTTTCTCTGTCGGTGGGGAGGAGCGCGGCTCTAGTTGCCAGCCCGGCGAGAGATTTTCTCTCGCAACCGATTCATTTGGTAAAAGGATTTGCGCGAGGCGATGGCTGATGTCAAGCGAAACCAATTAATAAACGGCAAACTGTAATTAATATTTTTTTACTAATATTAAGCGGTTAATACCAACCAAGGGGCCGCATTACTGATTCGTTTCCAATCCCTTTCTTGGCAGGAACATATTTTAAAATCTGAAATGTTTTCCTTCTCTTCAAGAATAAAATGGCTAAAAAAATTAACAGGGAGGTTAATTGTTACAAGTTCGTTCATGATTCTCGAGAGATTCTTGAGCACGTGAAATACGAAATTAAGGTATGAGCAAAAATATACAATACGAATTGTACCAGGTGAAAAGTAAGTTGAAAGTGTAAGGTGGTTTGAGATATTTTCAATCGTTTAGTATTTACTCAAAACCGTCACACAAAATAGTGAAAATCCAGGATTAAACTGAACTTAAATTTTTTGAGAGTGTGTGACTATCGGCAAATAATTACGTAAAACTTTGATTTAATATGAATAGTGCAATATGCAGCATTGTGATGTATAAGTTGCGCAAGACAAACTTTCTTTCGCAGGTCGTGCAGTTCTGTGAAATTCTTGCCCAAAATTAGTTGCCGTTAACTTCCGTTTTCTTGCTATTAGAAAAGAAGTTACGCATTGTAAAAACTTTCTAATGAAACGCTATCGTAACAGTCCATTTTGCTTTCGAGCAAAATAAGGCTGAAACTGCGAGTAAAATATCATGTCCAGACGCTGCTTTTGACGCAGACGCCAAAACACGCGGCGTTCGAAATCGCCTGCCTCGAGGAGGGCATTGCCCTCAACATGTGCCAAAATGTAAGCTACGTTCACAAGCTGTGTCTCGCTACCACTACCGCCAATCAAATAGGTTTCTTACAGGTGACTAAGTTGTACTGACGTAAGCAGCAAAGACATATTTACATGCTATGAGGTGTCCTCGGGTGCGTGACACTTCCCAGGTGGCCGCAGAAAATCGGGGACGCGACCTGCGCGGCAGTACACTCGACTCTAAAAGCGCTTTCCTAGCAAAATAGCGGCTATCTCGAAAATAAGATCTAAAATACCAATGTCGATCTCCACTTGTTGTGGCATCAATTTCGGAACTTGTTCCTTACGTTCAGACTCTTTGAAACCACCGTCGGCAAAGAAGAAAGAAGAGGAAAGATTTGCACTAGGGCGGATCACGCGACCGCGCCGATTCTCCCTCCTGTCGGAGCACAAACACCAAGAAAAATCGCAGCGGTCGCAGCCCGACCGCGGTCTTCGGTGGTTCGTGGTCCGCCGAGGCAGGCGGGTGGTCGGCGGGTGGTCGGCGGGCGGGCGGCGTGTCGTCCGCGCGCCCGTGCGTCTCTTGAGATGGGTTGCGTGAGCGAGCACCGCGTTGTGGGCGTCGCTGCGTTCTCAACCGACGCCGAGTCCTGCCGTCTGTCTCTGATGTGTGTCTGCCGGAGCCCGCCTGTACAGTCTGCCCGTCCGGTCTGGACTCTGTCGGCCCTGTTGTATATTGTGTGCACGGCGTTCTAGCGGAGAGCGACGCCGACTACGCGGGACCGTGAACCGGTTGGTGTACTCGGGCTAGGAAGGGGCTGGTGGCCATGAACACTGGAGACTAGCGGCGGCCGGTCGGCGGCGGACGACGGCGGCGGGCGGCGGCCGCGGGGTGGCGGTGTGAGTTGTCCGCCTGCGCCGGTCCCGCGCCGCCCCACCCCGCCGCCCCGCCCCCCGCCACCCCATCCCCACCTCTAGCCCCGCGCGCTGTTGCGCCGTTCGGCGCGAGGTGTTAAACACTTGAATGCTACAACGCGCCCTTCCCCGCGCGCGCCCCGGTCCCCAACTCCCCACCCCCTCCCCCCTGCGCGGAGCGGCGCTGCGTGGCGCCTGTCATTAACGTGTACTTCATTTAAACGCGGCGTTGCGACGGAATTATTTTAAAGAAGCGGAGTGCGTGGAGCGGGCACGAGCCTCATTAGGCGGGCCGCTGCCAGAGCGTGCGTCCGGCGCCGGCGGGGGACACGGCACGCTCAGCGGACGAAGGCATCTCCTGGATGTCGGCGGGGCGCAACAAAAATGACGTATCAAATATTGCCCTTTGAGTGGGAGAATGGTTTCATCCTCGTGCAGCCGGTTTTTGCACGGGGAAACAGAATGTTTCGCTCCAGAATTTATTTCCATTGTAGACTACTTTCTAAACATCTTTATTCCCTTAAGTAAATATTGTATAACATTTTCTAATTGTTCCTAGTGAACAGACTGTAAATAGTCAGTATTGGAAATAATAATACAAAATATTTCTTTCCTTATCTATAAAATTAAGATTTTTGATTTGTGTCGTTTTTTTGTGCAGTGATTACATGTCTGTTTTATTTTCTCTGGATGGTAACCATATATTGCATTCGACATTTTGTAAACACAAATTTGTAAATTAAAGTGAAATTTGATTCAGTTTGATATTATATTTTTCAGTTCATTATGAAATCACAAGTAATAAAATTGGAATCCATTCCAAGAATATTTAATATGAGCTAATATTTTCATATAAAAAATAAATATAAGGACACACTTTCATTTCTCAGCACACATGTTTATTATTAAAAATATATTTTTCAAATATACGTAGGGACTACAGCAACTTGAATGCCACGCATATTTACTTAAAACTATTTATTTAAACTCCATGATATACACATATGTAAGATAGTCATTGTAAACCCATCTGAAATCTGAGAATTTAGTAACATTGCGCTATTTATAAAGGTAAAGTTCACTCGGTAAAGTGCACTAAATAATTCCATAATGTGAAAATACCAAATTGCGAAGTTGAGAAACTTACCGAGTATAATATAGTAAAACTTAGACAATTTAGCTGAGTAGATAGCTGACCAGTGATGCTTCTATTTATTAATTTTAATAGTAATTCACAGATTTTTCTCGGGAAAAATATATTGATTTTCATAAATTCAAGGACGTATTTAATTTTCATTCAATAATCAAATAAACGTTCATTAAATCTCTCATGAAAACGCAAGCTATATAAAAAGTATTATTTTATATTTTTTAGTATAAGTATAGGTTCAGTTTAGTAAAAGTATAAGTTTTAATTTATTGAGTTTTCCAAACATTCTAGTTCCTTAATTCCTGAAATTGAAAAACGGATACGAAAGATAAGCGAATTTTTAATATGGTAGTGTACGTTCTGTTGTTTTATATCAGGAAACAGATAAGTTATACTTTTTGTAATCAATAAGATTTTGATTTCAAAGATAAGACATCGGTTTATATGCGGCTATTGACCCCTATCAACCCTTGATCATCATTGACCTCCTTCAAAATTTCATCAACTTCAAGGGGCTTTGTACCAACTACTCTGGGAACCTCTTGAATTGAATTGCATGTAAACGTGCATAATTCTGGATGGTTGTTCATTAATGCACAGCACACACGTACAATCATGTGTGTCTCAAATGACCTGCTAAACGTGCATCTTTTAAGAATATTATACAACCAGTTTTCATTGAAATACTTCCGTCAAACATCTCATTGTTTCATCGTAAGATCTCGTATTTTTCGCCATTTAGCACTATCACCATCTAATGTTGAAACTAGCCGAATATTGTATGTACAGTCGATGCCCATTCCATTATTTTAAACAGCTATATGATGTCTTTCCCGTTCTGCCCTTAGAACAATCAAGTACAACTATGCCACCGTAGGTAGCTTTGCCCTTGCAACCCCAGCCTCTCCATCAGCGAGCGATGTCTTCTTTTCTGCGGCTAGGCCTCTTCTGCTGTGACAAACGGCCTGTGAGCACGGGAGAACTGCAGCAACGGACGCCTCTCCATTGCCACCTCAGAACGCCCCCGACCCCTTTCCACCTTCCTCAACTTGTCACCGCACGACCTCCGTCGCCCGTTTCCACCGCCATCTTCCGCCTCTGTCACCCGCCTCCACCGCCATCTTCCGCCTCTGTCACCCGCCATCTTCCACCTCTGTCCCATACCCGCCTCCGTCGCCCGTCCACTCCCACCGTACCCATCTTACTCCGCTCTCTCCGTACCCCCGGCGGCCGCTCCGTCCGGTCCACTTTCCTCCACCGCCCTCCTTCCGTCACTCTGTCACCCGCATCTTCCATGCCCGTCACGTCGCCCTCCGTGCCGCCGGTCCACCGCCTCTTCCGTTCGCTCCGCCCGCCTCCGCGCCCTCGTCCGTCCCCGCCTCCGTCTGCCCGCCCGTCGCCGCTCAGTCGCCGCCCCTCCGCCCGTCGCCCCCTTCCGGTCGCCCGCCTCCCGTCGCCCGCCTCCGTCCGCTCCCGCCCCCGTGCCGCACTCGTCGCCGCGCCTCCGTCGCCGCTCGCGCCCGCCTCCGTCGCCCGCCTCCGTCGCCCGCCTCCGTCGCCCGCCGCTTCCCCTCGTCGCCCGCTCCGACGCCCGCCCCCGCCCTTAGCCTCCGCCCTCAGCCTCCGCCCTCAGACTCCGCCCTCTGCCTTCGTTCCCGCCCCATCTTTTCCCTCACCGTCGTCCCTGCACCGTCCCTTCCGTGTTACCGGTTGGTCTCAATATGTTCCATTCCGTCGCCCCTTGTCCTCTCGTCGCCTCTTCCCAACTCCTCGTTTGGAGAGGGCGGTTTGCTGCGCCACTCTGCGTTCGACGGTTGCGGGTGACCCGCGCGCACATTAGTTTGCTGCGGGAACGAGCAGACACAAGACGCATTGGAAGGCTGACCTTGTCCGCCGCCGCGCCGCGCGCTACGCTTCGGTGTGGCCGGAGAGAAAGGTTGCTCTACGCAAAAACGGATGCAACGCTTCTGTGAAAAAGCATTCCGGATAAAAATAACAAAAATATGCCGCAGTTGATGGCATTGAAATGAAAAACCTGTATTTACAATTGACAATATTCAAAGGCGTATTTCTATTTATTTTTCAGCTGTTTTCTTAACGCAAATTGAAAAATATCATACATTTCTAATAAGAAATTTGTTCTATTTATGTATTCTTAAGTGACATCAACAATTTGTTTTAAAGGTATGAGAGAGTTCTTCTCAAGTTTCGTATATTATGTCTTATTGATATGAATACGTTTAATAAAGAAACAAAAGTATTCATGGAGTCAAATGAAGTCAATATAAAAGAAATTTCTCGGGCTTGTAGGCCGATGTCTAGTTAGCATTGAAGAGCCAAAATTGTCTAGTTGGTCTCTCAATGCCAACTAAACTACGGCCTATTAGCATGGAATATGTCTTTTATAATGATTCCGTGAAAGTCTGCGATGCAAAAGTATTATATTTTTCTGGATAGTGCATGTAACGAATGGGTAGCCTTATTTAGAGCAACTAGCTCAAGATAAATATGCTCTCATATTTTTTCAGATAAGGTAACAATAGAAATACTAGAAATCACGCATAAATAAGCAGATTATCGGGGTAAAGGAGGCAAGATGAAGCGATGAACTTTTCCATGCTTTTTGGGGAATACTTTGCACTATTGTCACAATGTATTAACCTTTCATGAATTATTGCACACTAGCATATTTTCACAATAGTGTCAAATCGTATACCTTTTTGGGAGAAGAGTCGTTCACACATATTTTACATATACAACACGCAAATTTATTAATGTAATGTTGGTTTAAAGAAGGTAATTTCAGAATACTCGCAACGTTCGTTCTACACGCAACGCCTAGAAAAAGCTCCTGCTGCAGGGCGGCCTCTGGACTCGGCGGCTGTCACACAGAGCGGTGCGTTGGGCAACCACATTTCTTGCCAGCGACAAGTGGCCTCGAGGTGAAATAGCTCCCCTCGTCACTCTTGGGAGCCCCGCGCCCTCCTCCTCCTCCACTCCGACGTGGACTTTTGCGGGGGCGGTTGGGGGGGGGCGCAGGAAATAAATACGAGTGCAGTCGAGTGAGTAACGAGGGCGCAATTGAGTGGGTCAGCATCACCAGTGCATGCGGTCTAGTAATTAAGCACCCAATGAGGTCACCACTATACAGATGGAAGAAATAGAAAATTACAGAAGAGACACTGTAGTAAATAATTGTGTATCTCTACAATGATTCTGTATGAATTATTTTTGAGTAAATTGAAGAACATTCGGTATT